GTGGGATGAAATTCCATTGGAATACATCCAAAAGTTGATTCAATCGATGCCAAGTAGAATGGCCATGGTTATTGCAGCCAAAGGTGGTCATACGAAGTATTAAAGTTTGAAATACATTCACTTTTTTCGTTTCATTGATGTCGGACTTAAACTTTTTGACAGTGGTACTTTTTCTCGTCTTGTCTACTTTCTTATTGGCTCACCAGAACGCTGGCTTGAAGATCGCACTTGATTGGTTGAAACTACACCTATCAAATGCACTCATTCGTTTCATACAAATGTAAATACTTCATTCGAAAATTAATATACTGAAATATATATCAGATGGACTTAAACTTTTCACACCCACTGTACATGCACAGGTTAGTGGCAAATCGTGTAGTTGAGAACTGATTTATTACATGTTAATCCTCTATGAAGCTTCTACTATTCTGGTGGTCACTAGTTAGTGTCACTACTTTGCATGGCATATACACAACAGCCTCCCATGCCGAGTAAGTTGTTGATGGTACCTTGATCTTGGAAGCTGGCTTATAAGTAGTATATCTTGACATGGCGTGTACTGGACAGATAGGCAACGATTCGACGCGCGGCGTTGAGATGCATTTGGGCTGGGGTGGAGGTATAGCGGGTGAGCTTGCCGACATCTGGCCGTGTCTTGGTTGAGCTATCTGGCCGTGTCTTGGTTGAGCAATACGAGTGCTTGATACTCTTTGTTGCTGGGCAGTGGGGTCGCATCTTGGTCAAGATCAGTGCCGACTGGCATGGGGGGCCCTGAGTTTGAATCTTTGCGCCACCTTGTCAATGTACGAGTCTTGAGAGAGTGTCGTGGTGCCATTGATCTCGATGGCTTCGCCGAGGGACTCGAATATGTCTTGTATCTCTTGGCTTGTCTTGGCGCACACGAGGATGTCGTCGACATAGATTGTGACGATCTGGGTCTTGCCGTCGAAGTTGCGTGTGAGGATGTTCAGACAGAGTAAGGTCGAACCTGATCTTGATGAGTAGGTCCGTCAAGTGCACGTACCACGTAAGCCCACTCTGCTTGAGTCCGTAGAGTGCCTTGCTGAGGAGGAGGTCTTGAGGGGTGCCGTCGTCGAATCCATCGGGCTGCTTCACGTAAATCTGGATCTTGTCGTCCAAGCCAGCGTGGATGTACGCGTTGGTCGCGTCTCCATGGTGGATCTTGAGGTCGTGTCGTGTAGCCCAGGCGAGGACGAGGCGCACGGCGTCGAAGGTGGCCACGGTGGAGTACGTCAATGCCCGGGCGCTGGCGGAAACCTTGGACAACGAGCCTAGCCTTGTACTTGAACTCGGTGGCCCGACTTCCTTGAGCTTGAAGACCCACTTCGTCTTCAACGCTTGGCGGTCACTGGGGGTCATGGCTGGCTCGAAGCATTCCATGCCGATGAGGTTCATTTCGACCTTGCAAGCCACCAACCATTCGTCGGACTCGTCGGTCTTCATGGCCTCCCATAAGTTGGTCGGTTCTGGATCGTCGATATCTGCCAGGTTGCTTTCTTCGCTGGGTTCATCTGGCTCCTGCTCCTGGGTGGCCGTACCGTGTTCGTTGTTCCGTCGAGTCTTGGTTGGTGCCTGGACGTGAGTATATTCCGGTTGTGACGGTCGCGCATTTGGCAGATGAGTGTGGATGTCCGCAACTCGTCGGAACTCTTGTTGCCTTGGTTCAACGAGTTGATTTTCCAACGCGGATGGTAGGCGTTCGGTGCGATGCAGGTTCACGATCGTGGATCTGGCGGCTGTGCGCTGTCTCGCCACGGCGTTCGCTGTCGCTTGCCCAACGATGGCTTCGAGGCCGGTGATGCGGGCATTGCGGCGTAACGTCAGCGCTCGAGTGTTTGCTTGATGATCTGGCGTGGCCCCTACTTACGATGCCAACGTGCTGGCGTGTGATTGGGCGTTGGGCTGTGTTGGGTTGAACCTTGAACTTGGGTACCGTATAGTGTATATGTATTGCGACAGATTAATCCATTGCGACTCCTGTAATAACTGATATTTTTCTTGTAATAACTGATATTTACTTGTGAACATGTTGAATATACTTCAAATTAGTACGACGCAATGGATTAACAAACTTTTGAGAACGAGTGTCGGCGGGTTGTGAAATATCACCTGTCGCAATACATATACACTATACGGTATGCTCACCCAGCTGGTTTCCTTGACCGGTGAATGATGTGATCGGGGTGATTCTGGTACCAGCATGGTACTGCGGGTTTGTGCGGGACTTGGACCAGTGTCTTCAATACGCAGTGGTGGCGTCCCGGCCCCTCGCATCATGTCTTGGTATGCGTTGGTCGTCGATGCAGCTGGGCGCCTCGTTGTCGATCTTGTTCGGTGGACTCGTAGGTTGGGTGTCGTGCCTGGTATGACGGTCACTGGGGCTTGACGCGGGTTCGGTGTCGTGGGCGTCGCTTGTTCCATGGCGGCGTCCTTGCGGCTCCGTTGGACGTTGTCGTCTTCGTCGTGGTCGCGAGGTGCGATCATGAAGGTATCTTCTTGGAACGCGACGTCGACTGAGAAAGTGCACTTCTTGTCTTCGAGGTCGTACAGCTTGTATGCTTTCTGAGTTATGCTGTACCCCAGGAAGACGCACTTGTTGGCTCGGCTGTGAAGCTTGTTAGACTCCTTGTTCCGGCGGAAGCAGACGCAACCAAAGACGCGTAGGTGCTTGATCGTCAGGATCTGGCCGTGGATGAGTTCGTGTGGTGTTTTGCCGTGGGTGTTGACGTTGGGTGGGCGGTTTCGAAGGTACGTAGCCGTGTCGACTGCTTCTGCCCAGCATATGTCGGGCAGACGGCTCTGGATCAGTGGATCAATAAGGTCCGGGCCATCGTGACGACGGTGCGATTGGTCCGCTCCGCCTTACCGTTCTGCCATTGGTGGTCGGCGGTACTGGTCTCGTGCTTGATGCCTTGGGCTGCGAGGTGCTTCGTCATTGCTTTGAATTCGGCGCCACCATCGCTCCGGAACACCATTATGGATACACCGGTGGTACGTTGGAACTCTTTCTCGAATCTATTGAACGCTTCTAGTGTCTCATCCTTGGTCTTCAGGAAATCGATGGTGATGTGCCCACTCGCGTGGTCTGTGAAGGCCACGAAGTATCATTTGCCGTTTGATGTTGGCACCCGAGTCGGCCCCCACAGGTCGGAGTGGATGCATTTACCGACCTTCCAGGTGCGCGTGCCCACCTTCGGGGGTGATACGTGAATCATCTTCCCTCGCGTACAGTCGATGCATTTTTAAGGTTCCATCGCTTGCTTAGGGCCGTCCTTGGTGGCAGCGATGATCTCCTTCGTCGAGGCGATGGATGGGTGTCCAAAGTGGCGAGGCATGCGATGTCGTGGGGTGCTGCTTCGATCTTGCCTTTGAGCTGGTACATTCGGCGATCGCTCAACTTGGCCTCGGCTGAGACACGGTCGCCGACCTTGATCGAGCACATTTTGCCCTTGAATTGAACTGTGACTCTCCTTCGATGATGGTCATCTGTTCTTCTCCATCGTGATTGGTGTCTTCGTTTAAGTTCAGCATGTCAATCTTGACTTCACATCCTATTTCTTTATTTAGGAAGAAGATGTCTTCTGCGGCATTGTTGGTGTGATCTTGTCGGTTGTTGCCCCTGCCGCGTCCGCCGCGACCCACTCGACCCCCGCGCTGGTTATGGTTCCATCCGTCGCGTGGGTAGCCATTTGAAGGTTGTCGACCGTCCTCGTTGATGTTCTTACGGTAGATTCCACGTTCCATATCGCCTCTTGCGGCGGCAGTGACGTGCAACATGACCTGGCTTCGTGCAGTCAGTCTTGCGGCGGCAGTGACGTGCAACATGACCTGGCTTCGTGCAGTAGAAACAGGTGTTTTCTTCAGTTGCCTAGAACGCCACATCGTTGGTCCGAGGTGCTTGGCCGGCTGCCGCTCGCAAGAGTTGGAGTTCGTGGTCGGCTCACAGCTCGGTAATAACTTCAGGTAGGGTCTTGTACTTGGGCTGGGTCGAGTGGTTGCGGTTGATGTGCAGCACTGTGTTGTGGAATTGCTCGGGCATCAGTACCAAGAGTTTCGTGGCATAGGCGGACTCTGGGATCAAGTCACCGGCAGTTTCGAGCTTGCGGGCGAGCTCGCAGTACTTATCCGTGAAGTCATCAAAGGCTTTGTCACTTGTCCAGCGTAGGTTGCTTATCTCCGTCATCAGTGTGAGTAGGTCAGTTGCGGAGGCTCTTTCGTGGATCTCCTCGAGCGCCTGCCAGGTATCGTATGTCGTCTGCGTCTTGCTGACGTACTTGAGTTGGTCCTGGTGAATAGTTAGTTTTATGTATGACCGTGCCACTAGGTCGTCTTCCTCGGCGAAGCCGTGGGCGTACGTGGAGCGGTCTGGCTCCAAGGGATCCTTGAGGTATTTGCCCAGTCGTTTTTGATTGAGTTTCTCAGTCACAGAGTTCGACCACTCGCGGTAGTTGGAGCCGCTGGAGTTGACGTGCGTGATGTTTTCGTTTGGGCTCATAACCTATTAGCTACAGACACAGGCTAGTGGCTAATCGTGTAATTGAGAACTCATTTATTACATGTTAATCCTCTATGAAGCTCCTACTATTCTGTTGTTCTAACTATAAAATTTGGACGGGTGATCGCGGGTCTTCCGTGTCGACCGTTACATGTATGATGGGCATTTGACCACTGTGGTGTTCACTAGTTAGTGTCACTACTTTGCGTGGCATATCCACAACATTTTCATGAAAAACTTAGTTACAGTACTCAAGTGTACCAATATATAACGGTATACGTATGGGTACGTTTCCGTGACACTTTTTGGGACCCTGGTTCCAAATTGCTATTATAACGTTAATAGTTTTTCTTAAAGAGGGGAATTATTGCAGTTCGTAGAACATGTCGAAATTCGTGTTGGTGTTGATGAAAAATGAACTCTAAGTATTGTGGATTCGATAAGAATTTCCAGACCTCGTTGAATCGAATCTCGCCGCCGAATCGAATCACGAATCGACGCTATTGGCTAATCCATTTTTGAGTGGATTTGATTGGCTCTTCCAGAAAGGACAAGTATATTCAACCAATCAGAACTCCGGCATAACTCAATATTTATTCGACAAACCAGGAGAATTTTGGAAGTTTATAGCGAATTCATCAAAAACGAATGGAGCCAATGAGAATCGTTTGCGTCGAACTTTGAAATCACTTTTTCAAAGTTACGATGGCGAGTCATGTTTTGGTCGTATTTTGGGTATTTGTGCTATCCAAGTTGGTTAAAATGATTGGATATCCTACTCGCACCCTGGCCGAGGTTGGTCGGAGCCGCCATTAGTGGGCGTGTTCTCATCAACTCTACCACGAGGAACAGTGAAATCGATCCCACTTCCGCAGGATACCTTTGGGGTCATGCCACCGGCAGCCATGACGATAGTATCTATTTGAAAAACATGGTACCGTTATTATCCTTTTGTCGAAGAGTGAAAATGATTGGCCACTTGATTAGTGTTGTGGGTTTTGATTGGTCCATTGTTTGTCTGTCGATTTGGTGCTAATTGAGCACCCCACTCCAATTTCAAATCGACTTGACAATATGCCCGGGGAAGACCAATGCGTCTGGTTGGAAGTCGCATCTGTTTACACAGCACTAGATCACCGAGGTTGGTGTCAACCAATCGAGCATGGAAATTTCGAGTAGAACCCACAATAATATACCGCTTTACAGTGTTTGCATCATCGTTTTACCCTTTTTCGTTTTTTTCTCAAATACTAGGTATACTACATACTAATTACGTAGTAGAATGGTTAATGTCGGTGTTTTTTCAAAAGTTGACGAAGGAATTAGAGAGTGTTGGTCGTTTTTGTCGTCCCGTTCCAAAGTCTCATTTGCGAATTTGGAGAAAAATGTCCGACTACGACAACGGCGACGACGAAGAGTACTCGTACATGTCGGACGGGGATGAGGTCATCGAGGATGGTATGAGCTTAGTGGAGAAAGCCACGCATCATGAGTACCAAGTCGTGGACCTCGGCGTGCTCCAAGCGCAGCAGACCCACACGATTGCTGAGACCTCCGACATGCTGCAGGTGTCCAAGGACGTGGCGATTCTGTTGTTGCGTCGAAACGGATGGAGCAAGGACATCGTTCAAGATCGATACTACGCTGCGGAATCTCCTCTCGCCTTCTTGCAGAAGCAAGGGGTCGCGTTGGTGGACAAGTTGCAGTTGGGGGCGAAGAACGATCTCGACTGTGGTGTCTGCGGTGACACTGTCAACTGTACAAATGTGGCGATCATGGGATGCGGTCATGGGTACTGCGCCGACTGCTGGGCGGGGTACTTGCAGGCGAAGGTCGAGGAAGGTCCGTGCTGCCTCCTCACGACGTGCTTGGCGTACAAGTGCGACGAAGCTGTACCGGACACTATGTTTCGCGCCGTTTTGGAGGGACCGAGCCTCGAGCAGTACACAAAGTGGCATTTGCGGTCGTTCGTAGACCAAAACGGGTCGATCACATGGTGTCCGTCGCCCAATTGCGGGAATGCGATCCGCGGCGATGGCGGCGAGTGCTTTGCCTCGTGTGCGTGTGGGTTCCAGCTGTGTCTGCGCTGCGGCCAAGAGGCGCACCCTGGTGTGCACTGCGGTTTATTGCGCGCGTGGACGGAGAAGTGCGCGGGCGAGTCGGAGAACGCGCGGTGGGTAGTAGCCCACACAAAGCAGTGCCCGAACCCCAAGTGCAGCGTGCGCATCGAGAAGAACCAGGGGTGCAACCACATGACGTGCAAGTCGTGTCATCACCACTTTTGCTGGGTGTGCATGGGTCCGTGGAAGGCGCACGGCGGCGACGCGTACTCATGCAATAGCTACAAGGACGAGCCTGCCACCGTCAAGACGGCGCGCACCGAGTTGGGTCGGTACCTCCATTACAACGAGCGGTTTCTGAACCATCAAAAGAGCGAAGCCATCTGCATCCGCGTGCGCGACGACGCCAAGGCGCAAGTGGACCAGCTCACGGACATGATGGTCGTGGACTTTCAGAACGTGCAGAAAGCGCTGGAGCTGCTCATCGAGTGCCGCCGGACACTCAAGTACACGTACGCGTTTGGGTATTACATGGACGAGCACGGGTTCCACGCCAAGGAGAAAGCGCTATTTGAGTTTTTGCAGGCCAATCTCGAAGCCAACACGGAAGTGCTGACGGGACTCACGGAGACGCCCTTGGACACGATGAACGTGGCTGACGTGATCAACTACACGGCTGTGACAGAGAAGTTTCTCCATGGTTTTCTTGACGGCGTCGAGAATGGCTTGTGCGGCTGAGCCATGGAGTACTAGTATGTACTAGTAGTACGTAGCTAGCGCATCCATGAAGTATATTTATATGGTGTCGATCGATGGTTTGACGTTGCATGGTGACGAAACGGTGTTGCTATGACTGGTTCAAGGAGGATGTATGTATACTGGTAGGGAGGAGTTTTATCGGCTGCGGCTACAACGTAGTAGCCGCAGCCGACTACTACTACTAACTACTAGTACTAGTACTCACTTGTGATCAAACTGCAAACTCGATTGAACCCACAGCTCGGTCTTGTCGATGAGGTCCTGCATGGAGCATTGATCGTGGCATTGAAACCCCAACTTGATGACCACCGCGGCAATCTCGTCCACGGCCACTTTGCGATCGAGCTCAAAGCTCTGGTCGACCACCCAGTCCAGCAATGTTTCTTCAAACTCGGCTTGGTCCTCGATGTCGTTGGGCACGTTCGCCGGGATGTCCCGAGGACACGACAAGTGCACAGACGCATGCAGCATGCGCTTCTTGAGCTCGCGGAACTTCTTTGTCTTCAACGCATGTGCTTCGTCCACCCGTCGGAGCTGTTCCTTGAGGTCCATCAGTTGCTTCTCCAACGCCGTCGTCTCCGCGTCCATGCGACAAATGTCCTCCATTCGACTCAACTCTGAAATGCGCTCCGAATCTGCCAGGCTAGCCATGAGGTAGTACAAACGCTCCACATGCGGAGGAACGGTGTTCGACGTGGGCCGTCGCCGCCGCTTTCCCGTCATCATCAAAATATTGCCACTCACTACCATCCGAAGCATCCGGATATAATAATACGGATAACGACTTGGCATGATAGCAATGATAGGCCGCCAGCTGGGCGATGTAACGTCCAAAGAACAATTCGATTTTCGATACCCACTACAGTACATAGTAGTAACTGTTAATGGGGATTACAGTTAGTCGTCAGCACAAAGCTCGCTAGGACACTTAATCCGCTCGAATGCTTAACCCGTCGCGGGGCTTCGCCATAGGGCTACTAGTACGCATGATGTGATGGGTCGTACAGGCCAATGGATGGCTAAACGAAACCCCAATGTTAACGTTATGATGGGGAAAATAATGTGTAACGGTGTCGATACCCTAACGCATGGTGGTCCATTTTCTATGGCGCTTGGTACTACGGTAAATCACCGCGTACAGTGAGTTTGACTAGTAAAAGTCTTAGTCAGGTACATGTAGTAGTCGGGTACATGTACTACAGCTGTAGTACATCGTGCTTTTCGTTGTGATTAACGTTAGCGTAATGGGGGGATGGTTTCAGCACCCGCTCGTTCAACGGCGTCTTACTTATTTCGTGCTTGGAGACATCAGACTATCACTGGTATTGTTATCCATAGTATACTACAAGTTGATGTAAAATGCACGAGGCAACGATTTGCACGGATCAGTCACACTTACAACCTTCGTCGAATGTTGTTTCCGAGTGGTGCAATGTGCCGACTTCTGTAATCGATCATATGTTTCGTATCCCATGAGAAAAAATAGAGTGTGGGTTGTGTCGCACTATAGCCCCAGTGGCGGCATCCCCAGCCCACAAAGTTTTCACAATTCATTTTCCCCAGTGAAAATACTACAATGTTACGCCTTGCGCTCACGGCGTTGGCGCTGCTGCCCTTGTTGGCCCACTCTGCGCCCAACATCACGCTTCGCCGGACCGACCGAGTGGTGATCGTCGGAGGCGGGCCCGCCGGCATCCACTACGCGTCCCTCTTGGCCAAGAAAGGACTTACCAAGATCACCGTTCTCGAAGCGACTGGCGATGTGGGGGGCAAATCTCAAACCCGAATCGATGCCTGGGGCAACCCCCAAGAGATGGGCACTGTGTTTGCCCTCGACTCGTACACGCCCGTGTTTGATCTCGTCCAAGAGTACGACCCGAAGAACTCCAAGTTCGTGTTTGCGTTCGAGCAGCCTGGCTACATGGCAACGATGGGCGACGTCATTGGGGTGAGGGACAGCGACGCGTCGGTATCGATGGACTTCCCCACATTCTTGCTGCATTCGATTGAAGAAAACGCGCCACCCGCCGTGCAGTCCAACGCCACCAAAAGCAACTTGCAGAGTGTATTCCTCGACCAAGCCATGCGCTACATCCGTCTGCACCGCAGCATCTTTGGGTCGTACGCGTACGGGTTGCCTCCCCAGCCCAAGGACTGGAGCGCCATCGACATGACCGCCATGGACTTTCTCAAGAAGCACAACCTCACGGCGTTGATTGGGATGTTCAAGTTTTCCCAGCAGCAACAGGGGTATGGCGTCCTCGAAACCATCCCAGCGTTCTACTTTCTCTGGTGGTCGCATCCGACGGCAGTGGCCAAAATCCTCCGGTCCCAAGTGTCGTCGCAACCGTGTGCGTACTCGTTGCGAAAGGGTTTCCAGAGCTTGTGGCGGGCGATGGCCTATGCACACAGTGACGCAGTCCAAGTCATCCTGAACGCCCGAGTCACCGAGGTGTCGCGGGGGATCGAGTCCAACGACGATGACGATGACGATGATGACGACGATGACGACTTCGATGACGACGACGACGATGACGAGTCGCCGTCGGTCACGTACATCAACCGATACGGCCGTTCGGAAACCATCGAGTGCGATCACGTGGTCATGGCCGTGGATTTGAGCCAGTTTGTGAATGTAGTGGACGACTTGACACCCGCCGAGCGCGACGTGTTCGTGGGAACCTACACGGCGTCGACGTTTATCACGACCCTTTACGAGTCCAAGCCATGCCCCGTGGAGACAGCGGCGCATGTTTGGCTCAACCGCATGAACAACGACGGCCGGTTGAGTTCGCTGCGCAACTCGAAGCTGACACTGGCCACCAAAGCGAATGCGTCCAACTGGGGGGATCTCATCCTCGGGCGTCAGGTGCGCGTGGCGTACCAGTTCTACGACCGCCCCCTCCAAAACGTGAATCGAGGGGACGCCCGGGACTTGCTGATGAACGACCTCGCCCTCGCCGGCATGACTGACGTCGCGCTGTGGACGCAATCGCATTTCAACTACTTTCCTCGGTTCACCCCCGACGGGCTCAAGAAAGGGCTGCTGTGGAAGATCTGGGACATGCAGGGGGATTCCAAGACAACGTGGATTGGGAGCAGCGTGAGCTTTGAAAGTGCTCTGGACGTTGTCACGTACAACAACAACCTCATCCAGCGGGTGCACGTCGTCTAATAGAGCTCTCTGGTTTATTCTTGAAGGGCCAATGCATTCAGTTTGCAATACTCAAAACCTAGAGCACTCTCATGTGTGTGCGTGCAATCGTACAGATACATGCTCATTCATCATCACTTTAATAGCCCTGAAGCCCAAGGTATGGGAAAAATACTTTTTTAGCAATTTTCCGGAGTAAAAACAATTCACTACTATTATACTACACCTTTTTTCTATTCAGTGGGGACTTTTTTCAACGTTCTTGGCTTGGCGCTCATTCGAAAGGGCGATGTGTCCATCCATTTGGCCTTGTGGCCAATAGAATTGACACTTAGTGCCGCAACACCCTTTGAAATGTACCATGCTACCAATGGAAAAGGCTCCACTACCCAACAATGTGCCAAGTAGCATT